AGGGCGGCCCCTCCAGCGGAAGGGTCTCGGCGTTCCCAGGGATGCCCGTTCCTGGGGCTGGGAAGGCTGGAGCCGGCAGGGAAGGGGCTGCAGCAGGGGGTTCGTTCGCGGTCTGATCCATCACAGACCCGTCTCCAGCACCGAGAAGTGGAAGGGTGAGATCAGAAACGCTTCCCTTCCTCCTGCACCCCGAGGTCTGAATATAAATAGATGAGCTCTGGGCTCGTCTGACAGGCAGCGTCCTCAGCCAGCCCCGGGTACGGCAAGGGAAGGGGCTGCAGCAGGGGGTTCGTTCGCGGTCTGATCCATCACAGACCCGTCTCCAGCACCGAGAAGTGGAAGGGTGAGATCAGAAACGCTTCCCTTCCTCCTGCACCCCGAGGTCTGAATATAAATAGATGAGCTCTGGGCTCGTCTGACAGGCAGCGTCCTCAGCCAGCCCCGGGTACGGCAGCAGAACAACATCACCGAAGCCAGAGTGAGATCCCGGCCCTGCTGCTGCCCGGAGATCTCCTGGAGTGGAAGCGTAGGGGAAAGGGGCATTTTCCTTGTCTTCTCCCAGTTAGGAAAAGGCTTTGCTGTGGGATGTGTGTGTTTGGGAAGGGGACTCGCCCCCCAGCTGCGGTGTGCCGGGTGCCGTCCCACTGCCTGGTTGAGGCATGGCGGGCGTGCTCGGGGACGGAGCTGGTGGCCGCAGCCTTCTCCCCGGTGGTTGTGCCACCGTGGCCGGCTCTGCTCCGATCCCCCCTGTGAAAGCTTCAGATGCGTTGATGAGCTGCTCCGTGTCCTTTCCGGGACGCCGCAGGCTCACGGGGAGGGGACTCAGGCCCTTTGCTGGTGGCTGCCCCCTGCAGAGCCCCCCGCTCACCGTCCTGGCGTCGTGTCTCACAGGTGATGTCCATCCTCCTGCACGGAGATGCCGCTTTCGCCGGGCAGGGCATCGTGTACGAGACGTTCCACCTGAGCGACCTGCCCTCCTACACCACCCACGGCACCGTCCACGTCGTGGTGAACAACCAGGTGAGGAGCAAACCCCCCGGCTCCGTGGGGACCCCTCGCAGACTGGCATCTGCGGGCTCAGGTCTGGCTGGCGGCTGGCA